TTGTGGTTGTGTGTTTGTGGTTGTGTGTTTGTGGTTGTGTGTTTGTGATTGTGTGTGTGCTGGAAGTGGTTGTGATTGTGTGTTTGTAGTTGTGGTTGTGTGTTGATGGTTGTGTGTTTGTTGTTGTGTGTTTGTTGTTGTGTGTTTGTGGTTGTGTTTGTGTGTTTGTGGTTGTGTTTGTAGTTGTGTGTTTGTGATTGTGTTTGTGTACTGGAAGTGGATGTGATTGTGTGTTTGTAGTTGTGGTTGTGTGTTTGTTGTTGTGTGTTTGTGCCTGTGTGTTCGTGGTTGTGTGTTCGTGGTTGTGTGTTTGTGGTTGTGAGTTTGTGGTTGTGTGTTCGTGGTTGTGTTCGTGGTTGTGTGTTTGTGGGTGTGTGTTTGTGGTTGTGTTTGTGGTTGTGTGTTTGTGATTGTGTTTGTGTACTGGAAGTGGTTGTGATTGTGTGTTTGTAGTTGTGGTTGTGTGTTTGTTGTTGTGTATTTGTTGTTGTGTGTTTGTGGTTGTCTGTTCGTGGTTGTGTGTTTGTGGTTGTGTGCTGTGGTTGAGGTCTGGCAGGGAACACTTGGGTCTGGAGCTCAGGGTTGAGGTCCGGCAGGGAACACTGGGCGCGGATGGAGCTCAGGGTTGAGGTCCGGCAGGGAACACTGGGCGCGGATGGTCGTGGTTGAGGTCCGGCGGAGGAGGCGGAGGAGGAGAAGAAGCAGGAGATGGGCCTGACGTAACATCTAACAACCCTCACCCGACAGGTGGGGAAAAATCCACAAACTACTAAAAATCTAATTTAAATGAACTATATATAACTACGTCTGTTCCTGTCAGGCGTGCGAAGAGTCTTTCATTTTCCTCTACTTGTATCACGCGCGGGTTACAGTATGCAAGTTTCCCTGGCAAAGCATGTGCCCAGAAAGGAATGCAAGTTGTTCCAGAAGAAACGCAGGGTTCCAAAACTGCTGACTGTAGTAGAAGGGGAGATAGATATGATAGATGAAACCTTCTTGGGGTTCCCGAAAAAAGGAGAGGACACACGCCTATCTAATGGGTCTGCACTGAAGTACTCAGGTCCTGAAATGGATCAAGTACTCAGGTCGCAGGAGATGAACACTCGAACAAATCGATGGTTCCGTGCATTCTCGGCACGTTTTTGGGGGTATTTGGACCATGTTCATCCATGCTCCATCATCCAACATCGGTGCGCCATCCACTTCCAGAAATCATCCGAGATTGACCCTCCCACTGCGTTTTTTTTTCAAAGTTCTTTTGTGCATGAAACACCTGGTGGCCGCATCCCCGATTAGGATGGGCTCACGCCGCCGCAGCCGCTCACGCCTGCGTCACCGGACCCGACTCCGCGCGAGCCGTCCCCGCGGGTGTCTGCTACATCTCACCAACCGTCCGAGAGTGGTGGTTCGGCTGTCACAAGGAACGCTCGTGACATGTCTGCTACATTCAGACATGTTGACATTTTTGTTCACACAAGGAATTGCTGTTGACATGTGAAACATGTAGTTCAGCAATTCTGAAGACTGGGTCGTCCACATCACCTGCTCTCCGATCCTCAAGGAGGTTTTCGCTCCATACGTGTGTGGGAACAGGTCAGCCCAACAACCCACATCAAAGATCAGAATGATGGAACATGATGGAACCACCAGAATCCGACCAAGGCGCAAAACTCGAGTTCAGCTAAAAATCAAGCGCATGGGAATGGGACCTGCCGCAAAGACTCCAAGATCCCGCTCAAAGGCTTTCAGTAGACCTCGTGTTCCGACTCCTTTGTGCGCAGCTTCGGACGCGAAGCTCGACGTCTCCCGGGCACCTCAAATGCCTTTGATCAAGACGTCGAGGTTCGCCTGAGGATTCAGCGCGTAGAGCGCCAACACCGTGGCAGGAGTCTCCTCTGCCTCGTCGTCGAGGCTGAAGACCCGGCAGCGCACATAGAGCTTCGCTCGCAGCTGCTGCTTGAGAATCACCTGGTTTCGTCCAAAAACAGCTCCTGCTTCGAGTCCATGTGGCATGTCCCATGCCCCGAGTCCGACCGATCTGATAGGGCTCCCAGCCATGGGTGTTTCCTGAACACGGAGGTACCACCCGCAACCGCACCCGCATGCACCCGCACCAACCTAGAAAAACAAAAAAGATATCACAAAACCATATAATTACCTTAAAGCGGCTGGGTTCTTACTTACGTAATCTTACTTTTAGAGTTCCTAGCTCGACTTGTAACACTCGCCAACAGGAAGTTGGCGCCCAATTGGTTCGCGCCCAATTCATTAGACCCAACACCTCGCACACCCAGTCGCTGCGGGAATGGTTGGCCATGTATATGATGCTGAGGCTGTATGGTCCATCTTATTATGGGATTATATATTGCTGTATATAAATATAATTACTTCCCAACGACCCCGACGCATTCGTCAATTCGTCACGCCTTTTGAACAACTCCCACCATCTTCCATCTCTCACCCCATGACTCTCAATCGCAGAAGTGGCATTAAGTGAAGATCTAGAACCTTTTACTTGTCATTCCAATAGCTATGTGGTTCCTGTCGATGGTCCCTTCAAGCAACCTCCGGCACTCACGGACCGTCCCAGGCGCCCACCCTTACCCTCCGTTTCTTCCGCCAAGGCGCCGCCGCTTTGAGGCGCCGATGGCCTTTCACCACCACCGTGGCACCCTTGTGGCGCACGGCCACGAGAGGCTCCAGCTTTTGGAGGATCCAGCTGTCCCTGCGCGCCCGTTTCACGGAGGCCGAGGCCCGCGCGCGTTTCGAGCGGACCGAGGGCCCGATTTATCTCCTATGGGTCCGGTCCGTGATTTTCCGCGCCCGAAAACCGGATTTTTCGAATGGTGGTGACCTTCCAGAGGTTGAAGGACCCGAACTAGACCTATGGGACCCAGTAAGGTCCGGTCACTTAAACTCTCTTGGTTGAGGATTTTTGCGCAGCGCCGACGGGTGAACCCGGTGAGCCAGGGTGAGCTCAATTGGGTTGGGGCGGAGAGTGCACCGCGGGAGTGCGCCACAGAACTCGAAGGGTGGTCGTGCAACACCCGCAGGTTCCAAGATTTGAAGAATCAGACCGACGAGTGGTACCATGTGGTGCCTACCCTGGGCATCTTCGACTGCAAGAAACACACAACCTTCTCAGGGCTTTCTTTGCTTCGTTCGGTGGCTCTGGCTCGGCTTCGGCCCCGGGAATGCCCCACAAAGGTCCGCGGTCCGCGCCTGTCGTACCAATCAAGACCGGCGCACTTTCGACTGTTGTTCCTTGGGAGCCGATGTCCCTTCTTCTGAGTCATGACTGCTAATCAAGAAAGAACTACTATACCAGGATTGTTCTACATCTCCGCATGGGGGGCTTTTCTTCATTAAAGACATAAATTTATCCCCCCATAATCTTGGGGCTGTTCTTTATGACTTTACATATATATATATATATAATGGATGATACATCTTTGGCAAAGTCACTGCGATGCAGATGCTTGACATGTCGCCTAAGTCGCCTAAGTAATTGCGGTCTCCCCTCAGTCGCTGATTCTTTCGGCTCCCAACGCCCATGTGTCAAGCCCACCGCCCACCGGTGGACCAATGAACACGCAACAGAAGATTGACATGAGGTTGATGCCAACCAATGATGTCCAAGTATGTGGCCATGGGAATAATAGAGGGGTCGGTGCTGGGTACTCATATACCTATTGGTTGTACATGGCCGGGGGTATCCCCTCATATCCCCTCTATTAACCAACAAACCAACGAAATTGGCCATCAATCCCAACATCCAGGGCCTTCCATGTCTGCGGACCCACGCTGTCAACCTCCGAGCGTCACGTCCTTCTCCAGGTCGTAGATGCTCCAGCCATCACTGAAGGTGCTGGTGACAGTGTCACTGCTGAAGCGCAAATCGCCGACTTCTACCTCCTGCGACTGCGATGTCATGTTCATTGAACATAGTAGAACCTCAACATGACGTGACCCATGTTTGCTAGTTCGTACTACGTACAAAGCCAAAGGCATGCGGTTCTCTCCTCCAGTAACTCTCGTATCTCTACTTGACCCAAAGTCGCCTTTCAATCAAAGTCATGATGCTGAAGGTGGCAACGTTTCAGGTTTGCAGGAATTCACACTGGCCAAGGGGAAAAAACATATATAAATAGAGAGAATATATGTGTAAAATGGTGAACGGAGGATCAACAGCAACTTGTAAAGGCAACTGTCACAACTCAACCAACGGGGATCAAAGAACTCCGTCGCGATCAAAAGCAAGCGGTACGCTCACTTTTCCATTGCGCAACCGTCGGGGGCTCGGATGAGCCAGACTCAAGGGCCCTTGTGCCAAAATGGTCACATGAGAGGGCCGCCATCTCATATCATGATATGCATGTTCCAATGCATACAAATTCACAATATGTATATATACAGTATATATAGTATTATATATAGTCACATTGGATCCCACATGTTGTTCTACATTGCCCTATCGGTTTGTCACATTTCGCCCATCACGACTGCCCTCCTCTCTTCGCCCTCAGCTCTCCGCTCTCCTTCAACTCTCTGCTTTGATAGCTCCACTTGTTCGTGAGCTGGCCTGTTCGTCCGAGGTTCGGAAGGCCATCGACACTGAGAAAAGCTCGACCCCCAGGGCCCAAAAATAGATCCCAATACTAGTGGGGTCTTGAAGACCCCCCACCCATACCCATACTTTCTAGACACATCAGCGGGCACATCTGTTGATGTCCTTAAATGAACACCTGGTGCACATTTGGGTACCCACCAGGATGCTTTTGTGTTCCCATGGCCGGACCACGTCCGTTTTTTTAAGGCAACACATGGTCCCTAAGCTCGCCAAAAGGGCATCCAAAACCTGTCACTCAAACTCGTTTAGACACACCTGCAACGCCAAAACCTTTTGGTCCAAAAAGGTAGGACTCGTAGGACATGTTCTTTTTTTGTTTTTAAAGAAGCGGACACTAACAATAAACAATAAACAATATATAAAACAAATTCAAGCAATATCAAGCAATTATCTAACTTAGAATCACGTAAACAAATCATTCCAACCCTTGTGCTATTGACCCCTAGAGTCGAAGAATTCCCTGGACTCAGTCAGCCCGCACCAGTCGCGGGCGCAGTTCAGAACGTCTGTTTCTCGACCAGTCACCCGCCACCAGCTGCAGAATCTCTTTCATCTGCTCCAGCTGCCGAGCGGGGGCGGGCAGTGCCGGACGCGCATCTCTCGACGCCCAGGAGCGGGAACTCCAGGAGTGTGTCGAGTGCTTCCACGGCTCCTCGACGCACTCGTCAGAATAGAATGGGAAGAATGGATAAGATATGATAGGAATGGAAGATACTTACTGATACAAAAGAACATGGAAAGTGAATGAATGAATCTGGAGCTTCTGAAGACTTTCCTGTGACTCTGCACTTTTGCCCCCAATCCTTCTCCGTCCATTTCACTTGCCAGCTGGCTGTCTCATGCTGCGGCTTTTCTTGCTGATGCTTCTGCGGCCATCCACCATGCTGAAAAGCCGCGGGTACAGAAGGACCTGCATGCCACTTTACTACTGCCTTTGCACCACCGCCTGCAGCTGGGGCACTTGAGGCTTCAGCTGGTCGTTCGCCTTGCTTCGGTGCTTTCGACAGCCCCTCCCAGGTCCTTTTCTTCTGCGTAGCCGCAGCCGCTGCTGCACGTCGCCACTGAAGCTTCGCCTCCCAAAAGGCTTCAACTCTGTCTTTCCAGCAGTGACGGTTCACGGATGAGGCTGCCATGTGTTCTTTTTGCACACCACGTGTTTCATCGCTGAACGGCTGAACGGGTGTTTCTGCGAGCTGGACCCAGGTCTGTCTTCCCGTATGGCCGTATGACTTGAACATCAAGGTATGACTTGCAGGCACGTGACGTGGGGAATGCTTGTGCAACAGCGCAATAGCTGTGAATGCTTCGTGCGATATATGTGCCTTTCGCCCTGGCGCATACTTAGTGTGTCACTGAGGGCAGTGCCCAAAAATATACTGTGTGGCTCAAGACTGCCACAACCAAACGAAACAACCTTGCCATAAGCAACAAATAAGCAAATAACAAGCCAACCCAAACACATAAACCACATATATATATATTAATATACAGTAAACCCAAAACAAACCGATCAATAAACATGAAAGAGCAGTGGGAATCCATCCCCTACTTGTGTGTGGGTGTCAGTCAATATATATATATAACTATATATAACATATTTATATATCATCCTCACACTTGTCCAAGACCTGCCGGAAAAGCAAAACACCAAGCAAAGGCAAGGAACACGGGTGCAAGTAGCAGACACACACACACACATTTGGGAAAAAAAAGGAAAACACACACATCAGGGAAACCAAAGCACCCAACCCCTTCGGTCGCCTCCTGTGCTCTGGTCTGAGCCAGCGCATTCTCTTTCATACGCTTTAGCGAGGCTGGAGTCGGGGCAGTGCTCTTCTTCTCCTTCTTCACGGTCAACAGCTTCTTCGGCTTGGGCTTCATGGACGCAGCGATAGCCGAAATGAGCATTCGGCCGCCTCCAGCGCTAGGCGCTTTGGCCGGTTCCTGCTTTCGCTTGGGCAAGGTCTTCGGGCGGGCAGCCTTCGGCGCTGGCTGCGCCTGGCATGGATGCTGGGCTTAAGTGCTTGTGCTTAGTACAATAGGGAATAAGGGAATGCGCCCCCAATGGAGATTCCTTTGGATCCATTCCCGCATTCCCTACTAAGCACAAGTCAGATAATCCGATTTCATCACCTGATTGGATGCTGGATATGCCACCATATGCCGCCAACGATCTGTTTTTGGTTTCTTAAACGGTTTGCGTCGCAAAACCCTGCGACCGGTCAAAGCTGGAAGTCCGGTTGAAACTCCTGGCGGTCACCTGGGTTGATTCCTGCTGCAGATTCTCCCACTTCCAGGCATAGACCTTTGTAAGATGGCAATGGCAACCTATATGATGCAAATATGTCCAAATAGTCACTGACACATTTAGCAGGATTTGGCTACATATATACGTATATCCGTATATATAGTTGAAATCGAGCAATCGTTACACTTGGCGCCCCCAGCTCACAAACCACTCGGCTCGGCTCGTCCCACCCCCTGCTCGGCTCGGCTCAAAACCCACCTGGTTCCGCCCACCCACCGGTCTCTACGAGGAATTGGCCTCGACATCCGAGACCTCCAAGATCTCGCATTTCACGGAAGCGGACGCCGTGGGTGAGGTCGTCTCCTTTTGGGGGCAGCGGGCGAGCGGCCGGCGGGTTCTCTTGTTTCGCATTCTCTGCACACGCGGCCAAGACAGGGCCAAGAACTGCTTTCAGAAGGCTGCAGAATTGTGGATACTACATGATCCTGCGCAGAGATGAAGTCGACTTTCAACATCCACGAGGTGCCAGGGCCAAACAAAGTCATCTCGTCTTGGGATCCGCCCCCACCCACGAAGCACCCATCTATTGTTGGAACCTTTGATTGCATGCCATGCATGGTTATAAGTTATAAGCTTGATGTTTGAAGACCTTTGACTCCACTGACTCCACCGCCCCATAAGCGATCCACACTTCAGAACCAGGAGCGGCCCACAAAAGAATCAACCGAATCAACCACAAAGAAAGTTCATGAAAGTCATGAAAGTTCAACCCCAAATAAATCATCCATGATCACCCCGAAAGGCGCATCCTTTCACCTTAGTCTCCACTTTTCTCCTGCTTGGTCTCCACCTTCACCCGCTTCGGCGGACCCGGCCGCCGCTTCACCGCCGGCCGCCGCGAGGGACTGCGGCATTCAGCGCGGCTTCCGCGCTGCTCCGAGTCCGAGCGACTCTCGGGGTCTGTGTGCTCGTCGGGCTCCGCCGGCTCCGGCGGCGGCTCCGCGGCGTCCGGCGGCTCCGTGGGCTCCATGGCCCGAGCAGCCGGTGCAGGGGACGGGTGAAAAGGGCTTAAGGTGGAAGGTGTGTTCGATGGGTTGGCATGACACACTGTTCTTTGGAACTGTAGGGTGAACATGGGTGAAGCTCAAATCACATTCAATCACGACATGTCACATGTTCAATATTCAGGAGCTTTTTGAGGGAAAAACGGGGAGCACGGATTCGAGGCAGATCGCTTCGATGCGTTTCCACTATAGGTCGAAGATTTACCAGCTTCATACTTCGAGCCACAGCCACAATAATGGCTCCTTCCACATGCCTGCTACATATGCCTTAAGAGTGGACCAAATCAGATTAGCCCGGCAAAACCTTTGCTCAAGAAAGCCTACAAGTGCACCCAGAAATTGGGACAGCAAGTGGCTGGTGGGTGGGCACTTGGACTGTCGAGCTTCGAACTAATTGGTGTGTTCCGAGCCTTCGAACATCATGTCCAAAGCTAGTCGGATGGCAAGGGCAGCTTCGCTCAAAGAAAGGCTTGTTGCGAAGTCACTGGCGGCGGGCAGGCTTCTTTCCTTCGCCAACTCGCGAATGTCACTTCGTCGAAGAGCTGTCTGTGGGGGTAGCCTGACGAACGATGGCCCGGCCACGGCAGTGAACCTCACCCTTTGCCAAGGGTCCGCCCGCTATCATCTACTATCTACCTTGCCCTTTTAATTACAGTGGTTTCAGAGTAGATGGCACAAACCCCTACATGTCATTTAGATGGGGGTCCATATAAACCACTTTTTGGGGATTGTGCCATCTACTCTGAACCCACTGTAAGAATTTTGCACGGAACTTTTGTTCTGAGTGGCCATCGGTATTTCCTGAAATGCCGTGGCGTGCTTTTCGGCTGGTAGAAATTGGGATAGAATTACAGTGGACGTCGTCACCGCATGTCGTCACCGCATGTCGAATACAACTTTCAGCCTGCCAGGGTCTCGTTCTTTGGGCTAGACCACGAGAGGTCAGTTTACTTTCACAATAAAGCAAGCAATTGCTCTGTACTCTTTTTTGTAGGGATCCACATACCTTCTCAGCAGGTACTTGGGCCATCTTGGGCCCTCCAAGCCATAAATCCAATAACCTTCTGAGAAGGTACGACTGGATCCCTAGGGTCTATGAACATTTGTAACTTGCTTGTTCGGTCCGGACCCCGTGGCCGGGCGCCCCAGGGGCGTCGGCTCCACCGGTGACAAGGTGGTAACGTTGACTTTGGCGTGTTGCGGTTCCCCGGCTCAAACCGACGTGAAGAAGGCAAACAGAAACAAAGTCTCTGCCTGGCTTAGAGCACAGGATTTGCCTCTCTTGAAGGGTTTCTTGATGTTTCTTGCTAGGTATGTCATATGGTATGTCCAGCAATCGAAACATGACCAGAACAAGCGTTAGACATTTTTCTCCGCTGGCCCAGTGGACTCGGGACTGAACGACACAGAAGCCGCGGGGTCGACTCGACACACGACCGCTGCACCCGAGCGCCTTGGCCAAAACGCTTTCTGTCTGAAGCTGCTCCAACGCCTTCGCCGAAGCGGCGGAAGGCCCAACGAGCACGCGGCGAAGTGGCGGCAGCGACGGGAGCCGATCATGAGAAAATGGATTCCCATGGATGCCGTTCTGGCTCCGTTCGTCGCGATGCCAGGAGCCCCTAGTAGTGTTCTTGCTCCTGGTAGCGATGCCCTTGTTTACTAGTCTGAGGTTCATGACTGGAAGATTTGAGTCTTTGTGTTCCACATTGTTGCCAAGAGAGCGACAGGAAGTAGTCCGTGAAGCTTTCCCGTTTAGGCAGGTCCCATGCCATCTCATGCCTCCATGGCCAATGGATGCAAGGCCTGGCTCAGGGCGAGACTTGTTTGCACACTTTCTTCCACATCTCAGGACTGGTTGACCTCTCAGCACATCGTCCATTCCCAATCCCAGCTTCCCCCGGTTGGACCCACAGCCACAGTGTTTGACCAAGACTTATCACCGGTACAATGATACATCTTTCAGAAGAATATAAAACACATGTTTGGGGTGAAACCAACAACCATGCACACACTGGTTTCAGACTACTGTATATAGATGGCGCAAACCTCAAGATGTCCTTTAGATGGGGGTCAATGTATAAGCCTCCTTTTGAGATTGTGCCATTCTCAATCCGTATATATGACCAAAGGGCGTCATGGCACCAGGATACCTTCGTTGACCAGGATACCTTAGTAGGTCAAGCCACATGATGGACCGGGGTTTCAAGTTTTGACCCATATCACAAGCTAACTGTGTAGATCCCTTTTCTTTGGCAACCCATATTGGCTTCTTTTCTGAATACCGTCACCAACGAACCCATGCTCATGCGATCCCAGCGTTGGGTTCAGGCCCCTCCATGCCCGGCACATGTAAGTGGTTCCCTTGGCCAAAAGGTGTTTCTCGTTACTTTTTTCGAGGTGTTCGAGGGCTTCGCAGAAGAAGATTGGAAAGCAAAACATGTTGCTTCCTTTGAAGGTGCCCCTTTAATATACATGTTTTCCGTAAACACGTTCCCTGCTGAATGATTGATTGTTTCACAAAGGTTGCAGCCTTCCCATCGGACTTCATTACGACGAAGGAATTTGCGAGGCTCCAACCACCCACCACCCACCATGCCGAAGGTGATCAGATCCAGTCACCCCAGTCGTACCGCATCGTACCGCTGCACTTGGGAAGGGACGGCTGGAGAACCGCTGTGGATGGAGTACTCCGTGTCCTCAAACCAACGCCCCGGTAGAAGAGTGTAGCCAACATTGAGAAACAAATCCTCGCGCCGACCTCTTTTCTGGCCAGATCCGACGACCGAACAGCTCAGTCGTTCAAGTAACCATAGAGCATCTGGTATTCCTTGAAGCGAGTGTTCAGCACTTGTGCCTCGCTTCTGCCCAGGGCTGGGATCATGTGAGGGGTTGGCCACTCAACGCCTCTATCCTTGGGAGACTATCAGTAGCAGTTCACCCCGGCTCACCCCTTACATTAAACCGTGGCACATTGATTCAGTTGATCCATATTTGATATGAACCGGAACCCCATCACCCTACACAAATCACTGTGGCGGAGTTCCAATCACTGGAGACCAGCAGGAAATGTCATGGGACTTTGCTTAAATCGTTGCCATGCAGGTAAACTTCATGTGGTGATGTGGTCGAACATGTTGAAGATCCAAAAAGTAAAATCTGCACACAAAAGTGGCTTCTGTCTATTAACACATTATGATTCAACCAAACATAACAACATCCGGTAAGGCCGAAAGCCTACAATACACATAATACACCAAGCCCTCCAAGCGAAGCTGGGCGACATAAGCTTCATCCTTCAACTCGTTCAGCTCTGCGTTGTTGGCCGCACAGCCCTTGCCCTGGAGTCGCTCCGTCTCCGCCGAGCGGTGGTCAGGCCAAAGCTTTGTGACCTACGCGTCAAAGCGGCGAACACGCCGAAAACGGGCCGAAAATGAGGCGACACCGGCATGCATCATCTTTGGTTTGGGTAGCGGCAATGGCTAGTCTACATTAGCTTACCCACCCTGTCAGTGGTGACTGATCTGTTTAAGAAAACAACACCCCAGGTCACACACTGACCATCTGCATCCCAACCACTTTTGCGCCTGGCACACCGCATTCCCGCAATGACTTCGTTTCAACTGGATCAAGTCGGATTGAACCTCCCGAAGTTGCTCCTGCGAAAGAGGAGGGCAACACTCCTTCACAAGGCAGGTTCCATCGGGGTTCAATCCGATACATCTTAGTCATTGGAACTAACAGGAGCTTATCAGACTCGTGCTTAGTAGGGAATGAGGGAATGAACCACCCCAATAGAGATCCTATTGGATCCATTCCCATATTCCCTACTAAGCACCAGTCAGTTATTGTCCACCAATATCCAGGGCTGAACCAAAGGGCCACCGGATTGAACCGCCGTCTCTGGTCTCGGCTGAACCGAGGAACCGCTGATGGTCTAGTTGTGGGGGAAAACAAAGACCAAACCAGATCGACACTGTGGGGTTGAGCCGCGCCTAGGCCCTGCCGATTTGAGTTGTGGGTATGAAACTACATGAGACACAATGATTCATGCACCATGTATTTTATGTTTGGTTGACGAAAGTCTTGTTCCCGAAAACGGAGCGAATTTAGAAATCCTTCCATGCCGCTTCATGTTTTCCATATAACTCACACTAACGGTGAACACTTGTTTTATGGTATGGCTTTGCTCGTTTCACAGCAAAATACACTAGCGCATACTTTTGCACCTAAAATGACTAGAACTGCACTAAATGCTAGCGCGAGCCTAGCGCGAAAAGTCTCGAACATTTCCTGGTTTAGCCCTGGCAAAGACAAGTTGTGAAAATGGACAAAGCAAACTCACTATAGGAATAGTGCGACATGCCAACCAGTTGAAGTTGTGTCCTTGCTCCTGCTAGCCCTATGAAACTGCACATCACAGATTAAACATGTGGTCCAAAAAACAATGGCTTCCAGCAATCAAAAGCAGATTCAAAAGAGTCACCCTGGCGCGCAGTCTGGCGCGCCACCCTAGCGCCGCACGCTGGTGTTTTAGAGTAGCCACCCTAGCGCCACTGCTTCATAAGCTCTTAACATCGATCATCACAATGGCTCTCGTGTTGCCATTTTGTATAAGCTCCTTAGCACCGAATTTTTGGCATCCATATATATATATATACTCATATATACTTTAATATCACGCATAATACACTGACTGAATAAATAATATGTCCGGTAGATATTCAAATTGCACAGGTTACGAAGACTAGAGGCATGTATAGCATTATGTGCATGAAGTCTGCTGACCTTGAAAGCACTCTCAAACCGCTTTCTGGTCAATGGAGTCTTTTGTCTTTGACCAACCGAACCTCACAAACCGGCCACTTCCTTCAAAAACGCGCCCTCTCCTGTGTGAAAGACAACTTCAACTGCTCAGCGATGAGTTTCAAAGGGACCAGCGGACTTCGCATGATCTCCTCCTCACCGAGCGGAGGACAGCGCATCGCGCAGACCGATTCGCCGGGCCTGACCAGGGTGTTCGTCCATGGATTGTCCACCATTGTTCCACAGTTGAATCGATTGTGACGAACAACAAACCCAATCCGAGACTCGGATGATTTCTATGCGTCGCGCCAGATGATTTCTATCAGTGCCCCTACATAGAAGAACTCACAGTACCTGTTGCATGTCAACATCAGAACTCACAGTACCTGTGTATGATTGAGTTCACCCAAACTCAAAGAAACATCATTCACCCTGATCCTTTGTTAGAGACAACCAATCATTTGGATTCATTTGGGGGGTTCCTGCCTCATAGACCGACGACAGCTGACTGCCGAGACTCATAGCTGATATCCAGCGAACAATTGCGTCTCCACCTGGTTGCTTCATGGGTGTTGCAAACTGACATGTTTTGCACTCCGAACGCAGCACGCAGAAACAAGTTAAGTGATATGTATATATATATGTATACTTTTATACGTTCCCGAAGATCTCAAAAAGACCAACTGGAAGGTCCCACTGGAAGAGCTCCTGCAAAACTTCCGGTGCCATAGCTTTTGGTCAACGGCAACGCTTGGAGGACGAAAGCGCTTACCAAGCCTATCTAGAGTCGCTAGCGATCCAAGTACCTTCAGAGAAGGTATGACTGGACCCTCCTGGCACCTACAGTCTCCAGTGTCGAACACATCACCGTACCTCACAAGGTACGACTGGATCCCGGGGGGGCCAAGAACTGACACTGAGGGTAGCCAAACAACCAGATGTAACGACTCATCTGTCACCACATGAATACCCCTGACTCGAGTCTTGTTAGGTCAACCGAGCATGAGGTCACTGAGGTCTCTCACTCCATGTGCTCCGAAACGTAGGCGTCCTCAAGCCGGAGTAGGCGTCCACAGCCATGTCTTGGACATTGTCTTCAAATGTCTTCAATCAAAGCTCTATGATGCTCTATGGCACTGTCAAAGCAAAACATTTGTTGACTTGACTGGGCCGACCACAGGGGTGCTGTTGGGTCTGAGTCCAAGCAAGCCTGTTTTGTTTGATATTTGCTTGTACTATCCGCAAGCCCGAGAGACCAAACAGGTCTTTGGGACCCAGCGGGACTGCAGGTGAAACCGGCTGCCATGATGGATGACATCCGATCGAGGATCTCTGTCTTCCAAGAGCAGCAAACTCATGGAATGAAATGGAATGCTGGTTGATGCTTTCAACCCTTTTGAAACATATTATTATATAATCCAAACATCCCAAGTAAAGGTTGAACATAAACATATCCGAAACCATCACCTAGAATGAAAACGGCCCAGGTTGACCTTGTCCTGGTTGTCTTTAGCTGAGAGTCAGTGTCCGTCGTCCCTGCTGTCTATGGTTCCCTGGTATATGCGCGTCCAAGGTAAGTGGCTCAAACCTACTGGTGCACCTTCTGCACTCTGGGTGTCTCCCGTTCAAACCAGACTTGCTCGTTGGACCGACCTTGGCAACCACATCCTGGTGAACACCTCGTTACAAGACCGTTTGTATCATCCCTCCCATCCAAAGCCGGCCAGGGACGCCTCCCATCGCTTCGTGTCGCCCCCCCCCCCACGGGGGAAGTCGTCCGAGGGTCTGGAATAGCCAACTCCCACTGGACACGCCGATAGGAGGCCACCACACCTGGCCGTTTGGGGTCGAGCTTTGGTGGATCAGAATGGGGCCGTACGGTCGTATGTCTGAGACGTCGCTCCTATGTCTGGCGTTCGGATTGCCCGGTCCAGGTGGGGGGGTCCATGGTTTCGGTGTTCGCTTGTACCTCAGGCCCTCCGGACGGAGGGTTCCCCGAAGCATGCAGAAGACCAATGGGAGGAAGTCAGCTTGCATGCGAACGAACTCATAGAATGCGAACGGAGCTTCTTCGTGGATTTTTGTGTGACATCATAGTTTACAACGTAGAGTTTCCGAAATTATCTTGTCAGTCACTAGGGTCACTAGGGCATTTCGCCCCGGCTCAGTTTTTGCGGCTCTACAAGGGAGTAACTTTAGTTCTCTTGTTGCGACTCGGTGGCCGGCTGCACGTGTGTTGTTTTCCTCTGCAGGGCAGGCAAGCAGCTGATTGAAACTACGTTGCTATGATCCTGTCCCCATTTGGCTTCAGGGTTCATGAGTGTATATATTAATCCCGGGATGCCGTTGACGTCCGTTCCCCCGCAGTCCGTTCGGGCACTGTCCTTTTTAAGTCCGTGGCGTGGCGGAAGCTCCAATCACCGCAAAGCACCCGAAGATCTAACGCATTCAAAACATTCACCATTCTATATGTTCAGATATGTTCGCATTCCATGCATTAACTTCATAAACATTCTACATTTCAAGTATCACATTCCACATTCATAAACATTCTATATTACTGCATCACATTCCACATTCTAACACATCCAAGGCATTCATAAAGCTTCTATATATTTCTATATCATCACATTCCGCATTCTAACACATTCATAAACATTCTAGATTTTCACATCCCAATCCACAACCTTAAAACGTCCCCCCTCACTCTCACCTCGCAAATCCCTGTGCGTGAGGAAGATGTGCTTGGCCATCGGCACCAACTCCGCGTAGTCCGCCGACCACCTCGGAGAAGATCAGGGACGTCCTGCACCTCTTCCTCCCCAAGCTGAGACATGGGGGCGATGTTTGCTTCCAGAATAAAGAAACGCAGGACAAGGTAGATCATTGGGGGGGCGTGAGCAACAGATCTATATAATTCTTTATATATTGTTGTGAACGCCAGTGCAATCATGGGACACCTTGTGTCCCCCTGAAAAAAAACCTACAAAAACAAGCATTGGATCAACCAAGTCATTCAAAAGCCAACAGCACTAAATCTTGTTGCCCGAGGTCAAATCTCCACAGCAACCGCTGCACATCTCCATCCGAGCTGCTCGTGAGTCTTCACCAGCACCACCTCAGTCTGATGAGTCTGCCAGAAATTGGAGATAGAAACATTTTTGAGTCTCCAACCCATGCTATGCTGACCAATCTGATTTCAACGGGTTTCCTCTAGACTAGAGGCTTACGGAGTCATTCCTATAGGAATCCTCACACATGAATAAACCATAATCAACCAATTGCATGGAGCTCAGGAGCTCGTCCAAAAGAACTAACCTGGTTCTTCACCTCGTTCGACTCCTTAACCTTTACCTTTCCGACAGATTGGGCGAGGTGAGCTTTGCCACGCTGCATACCAGGACACACTGTCGCGGTGGTTCATTGACACCCTCAACCTCAACCCGGGGCTATTGATGCGCTTTTAAACCATAAACAAACATTTCGGGCTGAAAACCTGGAGATGGTCCGACTGCCCTTCCTTAACCCTAGACCCTTAGGGTCCTTGATGCTTCAAAACAACCCACACCGATAGATTTGGTCCATCTGGCTGTGGGTTCAATTGCGGAAGACCTGGCAGGTTGACATACCTGGCAGGTCGTTCGCTATATATACTGGACCAGGGCTCTGGGTTTTGACCCATACACAAGCTAACTGTGTATATATAGATCGCTTTTGATTGGCATGGTATTGCTTCTTTTCTGAAGACCGACGCGAACGAACCCATGTCTTGTCCAACCCTCATGCCTTTGGTGGATCCCGCCGGTCGGATCGACACTGAGAACGCGGCGGCCAAGGGCTGGGCACGCAGCCGTTCTTCCAGCTTGGCGTGGCTCAGGCGAGTCATCCAATAGGAGTCGCAGGGCACCTGGGGGGAACAAAGAATCAAACATCATCAAAGCAATAAAGCCTTGGGTAGGTAGCATGTCAAACATCAAATACAAAAATTGAAGAGTGATGAAGAGTGTCTCTGTTCATGGTGGCGGTGGATTTTAAGGTGCCTCTCAATTTAAACATATCATATATCCCAAAACTCTTTGTATGTACAAAGGCATTAACAATGGTCTTGGCAGTGGAATTTGTTGGCACTTATTTACGATTTCCTTCCGACGCCCACCCCAGTTCGCTGGATTTTGTGCGGCCTGCGCTTTCAAGTGCAAGAGCCGCACGGCATTGTACCTCGGTGCGATTTGTCTCGCCGGGCTATCTCCTCTCTCCATCCCTATCTCCGTCCATACTCCAACGATCCTAGTTTGGTGTGTATTTGGGACATGACCATCCTGTAGTGGATTCTTATGCTCTTTGTTCGTGTGAAAAAACCAGTGATATGATTGGATGATTGTTCTCACCTTTGCAGTCCTCTATTTATTGCCGAAAACAACGATCCGCCCATGATTCAACCCAAAGGAGTCGCCGAACGGCTTGTCAGGTGGGCATTCTGGGAGTGACAAACAGGCAAAACACGCTCATTCGACAGCTTGCCCCCCAAAATATCCGCCACCCAGCCACAGCCAGGTGCTCCCGGAACGCTCCGGGCCGGCGCAAATGACCTGGGAGCGACCCCAGGTCTGTTCCAAGCTGGACACCCTTAGGAGTTCAATGCCAGGCTGGAAATGGAGTCTGTTGGGAAAACGGAAGCCTCCCAGTCACCGAGCCCCGCCTGCGAACCAACGCCCTGGGCTGACGGAACAAAAACGAAACCAAGTGAAGTAGGCCTTCCACGAAACCGTTGAGCAGGCATCGTAGTGTTGAATCATTATTTTTTCAAGTATCTGGCCGCATTTTTCCAGTTTGGGGTAGGCTTCAATGGCAAACCAAATTTGGGAAACTCCCCGCTATGGATGGCAAATCAGCTTTTGAACTCGAACATTGAAGGAACAACACCACATTACCGTATTCCGAAAAAAGCAAAAATTGATATAGCCAAACGGCATATCCGACTTGCTTCAACTGCATTTCCATCCTCCGATTTGGCGTGAATTGTCGGGTGGTGGTGTCCCCAATTCAATATATCGGATCGTAATGACTATGCTTTGAAACTTAATGTTGCTCGTATTGGCGCTTCATGTTTCAAGAGTGTTCAAAAAGGTGAACTTTGAGACATGACATCTGTTCTATTCTGCGTGTTCCAATTGGCACAGGAAGGCACAAAAAGCCTTGCACATAAATATATATGTATATTTTAATATGTTATAATTACAATTATATATACATGTATGTGTATATATATGAAGAGAGAGAGTTGAACACAAACTCAACAAAGCCAATAAGCATAGTGACTCATGAAGGAATTCTACGTAATCACATCACATTGTAACGGGTGTGTTACTAAAGAAGACAACCGCCCCTTCTTTCACCCGGTCATTATCGTTCATTCACACCTCTACTGTTTTGTGATAAGCTCAAACACACACACCAAAACAATGCTAATAACAGAATCTATATAATAACCAAAAGAACATCGAACGGTGCAAGCTACATCAAACAAATGCAGGGCCCTTCCAAAGAGATCGCGTGCCTTTGCACTATGATTGGACTCAGCTGCCATTTGGAAGATGCCCACTTGCTGCCATTTGGGAGTTAGGATGCCCCTTACAATCAAACGCCCCTTGGAACATCTTGGAACATTGCCCATCTAAACGCTGTTTTGCACTACCAGAAACCCTTTTCCCATCGAAACAGGGCTCGTGGATGTGGGCAAACTCTCTGTTTGCCAAATGAACAAACCAAACCCAAAAGACTATGAAAGTACCATTGATTTGCTTGGAGAAAGCTTGGGGAAAGCCCAAACTCTCTTATGCGCTGATCGAACCAACCCAAAGAGATGTGGGCTTTCTAACACTGGTTCAGTCCAATCGCTGCTGTGCCTTTCCAAGTGGCCAAGTGATTCGCCTGCAACTTGGGCCACTTCCCTCTCATCTGCTCTCGGGATTCCTGGTTCGTGCGGCCCCGGTCGCTCGGCCTCACCGGGGCCAATCGAGTAAGGGGTGTCACATCAAGTGACGTTGGTTGTGACGCAAAAAACGTGGTGACATCCAAATTGCACACCAGCCTTTTGACATATTGATAGTATTGATAGCCCAGTCATTTGACTACTGTCTTAATTGATTCTCTTTTTGTGCCATATCTATCAGTCTTTGCCGCAAACCATGCCAATGTCTTGGTGAAACTGTGAAACAACCGTTTTTTCTTCACATGATTCGCAACATTGTCGTGGAGTCAGAACCCCCCCAAAAAGAAACAACTCGGAAAAAAAACACGCTCCGGCTAGAGCATCCATGACTTCATGACCGTCGATGATTGGACAGCCACTTCGGGCCTCCGAAATCTTGAAAACCCCTGCGACGATCTCATGATTGGGAGACCGAAACCGCAAAAGGTCACCGACTCAGGCGCATTGGTGCGCTTTAGTGTGGAGTGTGGGCTGTCTCTGGGCGTCCGCCAATGTCGCTCCTGACTCCTGCCTTTAACTCAGTTTAGTTATGCCCTGTTGAACACATGCGCGCTCCGGTTTGCAACTGTTTCAACAAGGTCCTGCAGAATTGCACAAGCAGCATGCTGCAGTGAGGCGCAATGCCATTAAATCATTCCACATGACCCACAACAACGGATGTGGGATGCGCAAATGCATCATCTCCAACATGGTTCTACACGCGCTTTCAAACGCTTCAAGATTTTAACCACCCCAATGTCTCTAGCAGATCCGCTTCTGCTGGGTTGATACTGGAGAGGTCCAAGCTTCTGGAGCCACCGGCTACCATGGCAGTGCTCCACCCCATGCGCAGGCCCCTTCCGGCCGGGCTGCGCCAGGAGTCTCATTGCTTCTGGCAGCGGCCGACGTTCGGAGAAGTGAATGGTGGTAGTGGTCGATTCGCCAGGTTGCAAGGAGTCAACGAGTTGGCGCCAAGGAGTCAACGGTCTGGACGAACGCGTGGAGCTGCGTCCAAGCAACAAAGGAGGATCCTTGCTGGAGAGGTTTGCGTGAGCGCATCAGTGGGTGATTTGATGGCTTATACCCTGCTGCATTCTGCAGGTCGTCCAGGAAGATGTTGAAACCGCAGCGAAGATTGCGTGAGACCAGCAATCCAAGCTGGATAGATTTAGCAACTCTTCGGTGCAGTTCTCATGTTTTGACCGCCAGCCTTGCGTCGAAATAATCCTGCAGCGACAGCATCCTGCCATGTTCAGTCCGAAAAGAGGGGACTTCCTCAGCTGATTAGTGCGACTACTGAATGCCAAACAGCCTGTGTTGCCAAAGCAAAAGTGGTTGCCAAAGGGAGAAAGGAAGCGGGACCCTTGGAGTTCAATTCCATTTCAGCCCAGCTCCCTCCCAGCAGATTGGACAACTCTTGTTCTGCACAATTTGATGCGCCGTGCACAAAAATACGAGTTTGGTTTTGCTTCTCAAGCACCCTGGCCAACAGGGCATGACATGACCAACAGTGCGCCGGGCCATACTTGGTCCCTCCGACAGGCAGCAACTGCAGCAGCACGTGGAACATGCAATTGGCAAACATTTCAAACATGGTCAGAAATATGTTGCATAAAACAAATGACCAACCATTGGGAGCAAAACGATCACAAGAATAATGTGGCCGACCCACACTCCATTCCATTGGAATAGTACGAAGGGTGATTGTCATACCGCCAGACCGCGAGAAACATCATGTACAATGTATAACATTGAACCACACAGCCCCATGTGTAAACAACCGAACGGACACTTCCCAAATTGGGTGGCTCTCCAGTTAGACTCCTGGGAGTTTAACGGCCCCAGGCCACATGAATTGATGCTACACTGCTAATCACTGCTACATGTCTCCACACGTGCTCCGGAGCCACACAGCTCTCCACCATGCAATTTTTGCTGAGTGTCTAAATGCCTCCTCTCGCATGCGATGGAACAGCTGGAGCCATCACAGTCGATACCGAGGACGTAAAGGCCTCGATCGGCTTCGCCAGGCGAAAGTCAAAGAGAAAAAAACCAGAAGCATCAAGAGAAATACCTGGTTTGAGTAACTTGTTTTTCTCACAAAAAAAATACAACAAATCATTACTCGATCCGGAAACCTGGTGCGTTTTCTGGGATGAACAGGACAACAGGACCGATCTTTTTGTGGCGCAACCTATGCGCACGCGCAAAAGGTGGGAACCTGGTCCGGCCGCTCTTTTTGGGGCAGTGCGGAAACAACAGC